TATTTGGTGCTTTCCATGTGCCAGGCATTGTTGTAGGTGCTAGAGATACAACAAGGAATAAAACAGATCAAAAGTCCTGCCTTAGCAGAACAGAAGGGAAGCAGAAAACCTTCTCCCTCTTGTGTGTGTGTGGGTGTGTGTGTGGGTGTGTGTGATCCCTTGTCCCAGCTTCACAGGAGCTATCTCGGCAGCTCCCCAGAAGCACGCTGAGCGCTGTAACTAAGGGTTAAGGTAGACTCTCTCCTGCAAGCTTCCTTTCTGGGAGGGAGACTTTCTAGATGCTCATCTCTCTGGCCAGGCCTCCCCTCTCATCTGCCCAGCCTCCCACTTTGCCTGCCCTGCAGTCTGTCCCCCACCTGCAGCCAGAGCCATCTTTATAAAAGGCAAGTCTTACCAAGTCATTTTACTGCTGAAAACCTTCATGATTTCCCATCACTCTGGATAAATCCAAATTCACAAGCCGGCCTCTGCTTACCCTCCCAGCCTCTTCTCCCTCCACCTCCTCCCTTGCATTCTGTATCCCAGCAGCACAGGAAGCTGGTTCCATCCACGGGCCACCCTGCCTTTGCTCACGCTGTCCCTTGGCCTAGAGCACCCCGCCTCCCCACCTGTCTGTAATCTGACCTCTGCTCTTCCTTGTAGACTCAGCCCCTTTTCCTCCCCCAGCCGTAGTCCACGTGGTCCAGGCGCGCTCAGCACATGGTGTTATGTGTTATCGTTACCTATTTTCTCTCCCAGGGAGACAGACACAATGGTAATTATATGTTTAACGGCTGTCTCTGGGGATGGTAAACCCCCTGTGAGCGTGGGCCATGGCTGTCTTATTCCCCGCTGTATCTGCAGCACGCCAGGCGAGGAGTAATAAACACAGGCAATGCTTCCGTGGCACTAACTGTGGACCCGGCCAGGAACTGTGCTAAGAACCTCACATGTGTTAGCAAATCTAATCCTTACCACAACTCAGTGAGGTACATGCTGTTATTAGTCCATGCCTGCAGATGAGAAAAAAGGCAACAAGAGGTTAATGATCCCCCCCTAAAGGTAGAGCAGGTTGAGAATTCAGACAATCTTCCCCCGAATCCATGCTCTGTACCACGATGCCTGTTGAATGAATGGATGGATGATGGATTGTGCCTGGGCACCAGGCACATAGCAGGCACTCAGTAAGAGAGCTGTTATTATTATCACCATGGTGTTCACACTCCCAGGTGTATGTGCCTTTAAAATAGGGATAAGGTCTGTTTTACTCACCTCTGTATACTCAGGGTATCTCCAAGTGGTTGGAGATAAATATTTCCCGAAGGAATGAAAAAACTTGCGAGTGACCCAAATCCTCAGAAGTATAAGGAATGACTTATTTAATTGTAATATTTTATATCTCTAAAAAGGACCTGATTCTACCTTCTTTATATATGTTTAAATTAAATTCCATTTTTCTTTATTAGATACTATTACCTGCATGTTGTACTATACAAAGTTGCAGAAAGGATAAACAGCAGAAAGTCCCTCTTCCATCAGGACCACCCCATGGTACAACTCCAGAGGACGCCATTCACATGAAATATAGTGTGGCAGCCACTGCTCCTGCTCAGCTCCCCATCCACCCAATTTCCCTCTCTGCAGGCGCCACTGATACCAACACTTCTCCATCCTTCCAGAGATAGTCTACATGCATTTAAACTGATCTATGTGTGTGTGTGTGTGTGTGTGTGTGTGTTATTCAACATAGAATTCTCCACCTTGCCTTGTTATTGTACGTCTTTGGGAGATTGTTTCATTTGAGGTGTATAGAGTAGCCGCATTCTTTTTAATGGTTACATAATATCTCGTTGTATGGTATGGATGTACCATAGTTTAGCTACTCCTTTATTTAACCAATCCTCCATGTATTTAATCAAGCTCTGTTAGGTTGTTTCTATTACAAACAGTGCTACCATGTGCTCATATTATTTCACCCACTGAGCACATCTGGAGGATACATTCTTAGCATTGGATTTCTTGGGCAAAGCAGAGGAATGACTTTCTAATGGTGGAATTTCAGTCACCCGTGACAGGCACAGATGAGATTTTTACACTGGAGTTTTGGGTGTGTCCAATCCTGCTAAGAAATTGATTGTCTGTGTGCCCCCTCTGGTATATTCAATACTAAGGAATGGTATTTGTGAGTTTGATAGTTTGTGATTCTCTAAAGAAAACACACCTCACAGCAGAAAGGTGGCTTCTTGGAGTCCAACCAAGGCTCACTGATTGGATCCCATCTTGCCTCACTTCTAGAGTAAGACCTTGCTGGGCAGCTAGACACCTGGGCCACTCAGCAGTGAGTTCACAGAGGCCCTGAGGAGCCTGAGAAGTTCAGGGTTCAGTCCCCAAAGAAACATGTACTCAAGAGACTCTGGCCCCAGAATCACCTTGTAGGGGAGAGAGAGACGGTCCCTGCTATTCCTAAGACATATTGAGGATGTGAATCCTATTAACATCACAGGATGGATGGATGGATGGATGGTTGGATGGATAGATGGGTGGGTGGATGGGTGGATGGATGGGTGGATGGATGGGTGGGTGGATGGATGGATGGCTGGATGGGTGGATGGGTGGATGGATACATAGATATAGACAGGTAGATATTGATCAAGCAAGTGTGAACTGAGACTTGCTTTTGGATTTGGGCTCTACCACATACTAGTTATGGGACTTTAGGTAACTTCCTTGACCTCCCTGAGCCCCAGTTTCCTTGTCTATGATGGGATTAACAATGTCTTCTTTGTGGGTCAATGGTGAGGAACAATGGTTGCAAATCAATAAGGGTAAAGGGCTTAGCACAGTGCCTGGCACAGTGGGTCCCCCAGTGGTTGTAGTTCCTACCATTTATCATATGACTGGGCATTCTCTGGTTGGTGTTTTGAGGGCATTTCTTTGGCAGGAGCCAATGAGCATGTACTTCCTACTCTGTTTGGCCCCTGCCTTCAAGGGGATGACTCTAAGGTAGGGGTTCTCAGCCTTCTTTCCCTCCCAGCAGGCATGGCGGGTGATATTCAGGCGCCTGGCACACTCCCAGCATGCGTTTCACAGGGCAGGATTTTTGCTACACTTGTTCATCTCTAGGCTAAGAAAGCAACATTAGTACAGGAATGACCTAGATCCACTTAAATTTATATTAAAACAATAAATAAAGGAAAGGAAGGGCAATCACCCTCAGATTTTGGTCCTCTGGCTACAATTTATTTGCAGAACAGCACCCGGCTTGCATCTGCTGCCTTATTGAGTAAGAAAGGGGGGCAAGGACTAACAGAAGCCTGTGGGGTCTCTCCTTTCAGTGGGTTTGGGGTAAACTCCATTCTCTTCTCTAGATGTGAAGTGTGGACCATTATCAGAGGGGTCTGGCCACTGCCCCCACATGGTTCTGGAATTGTTCTGTCTTCAACCTTTACCAAGTGTCTGGCTGAGGCGCTAAGCCCTCTGCAGTGACCCCAGGACCCACAGACATCCAGGACCTTAGCTGGGGCCTTGGCTGCTTGGCCAAGAGGTGAGGCCTGCCAGGCCCAGGTGGGCTCTCTCAGTCCAGCCGGCAAGCACAGACCTGCCAAAGCAGCTGCTCTCAGCCTCAGCATCTTGACCTGGGTCATGGAATCCAACCTCGCCTGACCCTCCCGGCACCCCCAGCCCAGCCCAGCGGGATCAACGGTGCTCTCCTCTGTGCCCCCACAGCACTTTGTTCCTGCAGCTGTTAAAGCACTCACTCTCAGTTTGAAATACCTCTCTATCCCTTCCAGGGCAATATTTTTTACATTTTATTTGTTAGAGATTTTACACAATCTCAAATTCTTCGTTATAATGGCCATGGGGTGTACATGATTTGCTATCTAGGAGATTAGAGTTGAACACATACATTGGTGGTTTGGAATCCCATTGGGTTCGTCTCTTTATGTAGAAAGAGTTGTGGAAAATCAGGCTTGTCTGGAACCTTCACCATGGACACTGCCCTAGAATCCTGCTTTCATCCATTCTGCAGTCAGCCAGTCATTCAACAAACACTTACTGAACTTCCACTCTTGTGCCAGGCACATGGTATATTTAGATGAAGAAGATACGGGCTGTGCCTTGTGGCGATCTAGACCTAGATTTTGCTGACACATTGAAACCTCTCTTTCTAGAATAAAGAAGTCAACTTATAGGATTCCTTTCTGAGTATAACTTCCTGGAGCTTTGAGACCATCTCTGTATTTTAAAATCTACAATATTTATCCATTCACCAAAAATCTATGTAGGGCATGGTGCCTAGAGTAGTGGCAGTGGGAGGGGGGGATATAAAGAAGAAAACATAAAATCTCCACCTTCTAGGGACCTGAATGTAAATGACAGAGGTCACGTGTAGACAGGAAATCCAGCCTGTTATTTTGTTGGTGATTGCATGAGGCATTCATTCATTTGTTCATTCGGCAGTAACTATTCTTGGTGTGTCCTGTGTGCTTAGGCTGTGGTAAGTGCTCTGGGAACTGTGGAAGAGCCCTAAGATGTGGCCTTGCCCTCTAGGCACTTGGGGTCACCTGGGGTTGGGGGGAGGTTGGGGGGGGAGACAAACGGTGTTCAGAGGCAAGTAGAACATCAGGCCAACTGTGACTCCAGCCAAAATCAGCAGCTCACAGAATGCTCTGGGGGCAAGGAGGCCCTGCGCCAGCCAGTGTGAGCCTGTTGGCAGCTCCACAGAGGCAGGAGATTCTGACCCAGTCCTGAGGAACAGAAAGGCCTTCGGGGAGAAAGAGAGGGAGGACATTCCAGGTCAGGGGAAGGGCATAAGCAGAGGTCTCCAAGTGTTAGGAATTTCTCATTAGAAACCAAGACCTGAAGCGGGTAGGGGTTGGGGGAGAACTAGCTCCAAACAACACCCACCGCAGGGCAGGGCCAGGAGCAGCCCTGAGGACGGGAGCTGGTAGCTGATGTTCAATCTGTGCCTTCAGGGGCCCTGTGCGTTCTCGTTTGTTCCCCTTCATCCCCTCACTCAGATTCTCTGCCACTATTCAAGGATAGCATGACGCCCTTCACACTCTACCTGAAGTCCTGCCTTCCCTCCGCCGTAAGGAGTTTGATTCTGCAAAAGAAACCAAACATCAGAAACATGTCCATTATGGCTGGAGGTAAGTGGTGCTAGATGTTAAAAAAAAAATCCCTGGAAACACCAGCTGTGTAGGACCCAGGAGTCCCTGAGAGTTCTAGCTTCTGCATGGGAGACAGACAGCAAGAGCAGAATGACATTAGTTCTGGTCACTGCCTAACTTCCCAGAAGGCACTGGCACCTTGGAGCAGGCTCAGGTGTGAAAACTCATCAGACCTGTCTAGCACCAACCACTTCTGCTTGGTCGCTACAGCTCCATAGGGAGAAGCGCCAATGGCCTCAGGTGATTAAAAGGGGTTTCCCTCAAGTGTCCCCAGATTATGCTGCATTTTAATCCAGTTTTGATTCAGACCAAGTCTCGCTACCTTGGACTAATCTTCTGCTCTGGGTGGCACTGATCTCCCCTCTGTCTCCCAGGAGTGACACCCAAGGCACTAAAAGGTCCTGTAAGAGAAAACAGATATCAAAGTTGTCACTCACCCAAGTCCCAGCAAAATTTCACAATAAGGAAGACTTTTTTGGTAATGGTGGAATCACCAAAGGGAAAACCAGCAGCACGGTTTAAAGTACCAAAGCAGGACAATTTTCATTGTTGATCGACATGTCTGGCCTCTGTTGCTATTTGTGGGCCAACAGAGGTACTTATTGTTGCATGACAAAGCAGCCCCACACTGAGTGGCTTAAACTGCAATTCTCGTAATTCTGCAGTGAGGCTGGGCTTAGCAGGGCGGTTCTTCTGCTCCACGTGGTGTCTGCTGGGGCTGGACCATCCAAGGTGGCTGCTTCCTTACGTGTCTGGAGTGTCCACTGGGATGGCTGGAACAGCCAAGATTGTAAGAGAGAGTATTCCAAGAGGACAAGCCTTCATGCCCAAGCACGTACTGAGCCTCTGCTTACATCACACCTTCTAATGTCCCATTGACCAAAGCCCAGGTCAGAGTCAATGGGGAAGGGGCAGCTCAGGGTCATGACTGAGAAGCATGCTTTATCGAGAGCCATCAAGGTAATAGTCTTCCAGAACCCTTCGTACACATGAGGTACCAGCAAACACCAGCTTAACCCCAGGTCGACCACTGCTTGCTGGAACCTCGGGGAGCCGAGAGAGCACAGTGGTGACAGATGGCCTGGCTGTGAGTCCCCGCATGGCTCCTTACTGGCTGTAGCTGTGGGTAAACTGTGTGCCCACTCTAAGCCTCATCTGTGAAGTGAAAGCAGCAGAATCTTCCCTGTGGAGCTGTCGGCAGGAGTAACTGAGCTAACACAGATTAAGTGCTCAGTCCACGTGAGCCACTGTCGTGGAATGCTCCCCGAGGAAAGCAGCTCATTCTGCAGAACAGCTGGAACACTCGAGCTCGGACTGTGTCTTCTGAGCCTTTAAATCAGATTAGAGCTCTAAATGGCTTTTTTTTTCTCTTGTCATTAAATTAAAGGAAAAAAAACCAGAAACATTGCTTTTTGGGTAAAAGGGCTCAGAGGACTCACTTTATTTCTCTGCACCAAGAGAAAGCATGGTGACCTTAGATGGAGCCCAAGAGACCCAGGGGACACACGAATCGCTTCAGACCTCAAGTGCCCTCCCCCTCGCATACCCACCGTCCCCTCCAAAAAGACACAAGGGAGTCCTCTAGTCTGTGTCCTGTTTCTAACGGGGACGAGTTGGGGACTTTCTATGACCAGCAGTGGAGATGCACAAAACCAAAACACAGTGCCCTCTGAAGCACATTTAATTAAAAAGGAAACAAAGAAGCTTTGTGCACATAATACCTCCCTGATTTATGGTGTTAAAAATCCCGTTTGTGCTCGCAACAGGCTTTGAAGGTAAGAGAGGGGCCGCGAGGGAATGCGAGGCCTCTGGCTGGCTGAGTTCCCTTCCTGCTCACTCGGGATTGTTTTTGGAGGCACGCTGGGCTTGCTTGCGACCAGCATCAGCTTCCTCGAGCTTGAGCTTTCGGCAGCTGGGTGTCTGGCTTGTCCTCATTGTGAAAGCCTGTTTGTAGCACTGGCAGGCGCTGTGGGTCTGAGATAGTGAGTTCCAGGCAGTTAGAGTAGGAGCCGTTCCTGGACTTTTCCCTGCAGATGTTTGCATCTGCTCCACTCACCATCCCCTGGACGTGGTGGTTGACCCAGCCTAGGGAGGCCCGGTGCCCACAGCCCAGTGGGGACCTGGGGGGACTCAGGTGTCACCTGTCTCAGGCTTGAATCCTGGCTGTGCCACACACCAGCTGTGTAACCTTGGGACACTCACTTCATCTCTCTGAACCTTCTTCCCCTCATGGATAAAATACAGATGATTACATATATAAATTATCATAAGCACTCAGAAAATATTAGCTGACAATATTATTGCAGAAAAGAAGTGTCCACATGTTGACAGAGCAAATCTGGCATTTAGGAGAATTGTCCCCAAGGTTATTTCTCTGAAAGAGCATAATTATGCTTTTCTTTGGGATGGTCTTTTTAAAGGAAATGCCTCCCCCCCCTTTTGAAACATATCTTTTCTTGTTTGTTTTTTCTCCAATTACATAATGATACCTATTTATTGCATAAATTTTAGAATATTGAGAAAAGCACAAAGAAGGAAATTAACATCACCCATAGTCTTGTCACTGAAGATAACCATGATTAACATGTAGATGTTCTTTCTTTTTTTTTTTTTTTTTTTTTTAAAAATTTTATTTATTCATTTTTTTCCCCCCAAAGCCCCAGTAGATAGTTGCATGTCATAGGTTCACATCCTTCTAGTTGCTGTACGTGGGACTCGGCCTCGCGTTGTACGGAGAAGTGGTGCCTCGGGGCGCGCCCGGGATCCGAACCCGGGCCGCCAGCATCAGAGCACGCGCACTTAACCGCTAAGCCACGGAGCCGGCCCTAGATGTTCTTTCTCTCATAGATTTTGTAAAAAGGAGAATAAGTCGAACATATTTTCTGTTTTGTTACCATGTATTGTTCCTTTAACCATATGTCATAAACATCTTTCAATATCATTAACTATTTCTTCTGTACCATAATTTTAAATGTCTGTACGAGATTCCATTGGATGAATGTAACTCCAACCCCTGCTTCCTGAACACCTGTTAGGTAATTTACACCCAGGAATGGACTCACGGAGTTCCCTTTAAGGTAGGTGTGGTAACTGATGTCTCATCCATGAGAAAACCACTGCCCGGGGCCACACAGCTGGTCAGGTTGGTTTGCCTCCAAAGCCAAAGGACTTCCCACTCCAGAGGAGGGCTGGTTGCCCCCAGAGGCGGTCATAGCATGCAAGTGGAGGTCTTCCTCTACAGCTCCATTAAGACTGTCTCTTTGGAGGCAGAGTCAAGGATTCTGTGAGCCTGCCCAGTAAAGAATCTGCCCAGACAAAAGTCGTGAACAGTCTCTTTCCCAAAGTAAATGGCCAATAAACAGAAGAAAAGGCACTCAACTGCATTCATCATCGGGACAATGCAAACTAAAGCCACAACGCGATGTCACTGCACACCTGCCAAATGCCCAGAATGAAAACGGCAGGCAATACCAAGTACTGGAGAGGATTTGGAGCAACTGGACACGCACGCATACTATATGATTCCATCATGTGAAGTCAAAGAACAGGCAGTAGCAATCTGTGGTGTTAGAAGTCGGGGTATGGCTACCCCTGGGGGTGGTGATGACCGGACGGGGCATAGTGGGGTTTTCTGGGATGCTGATAATGTTCTATTTCTTGACCTGGATGCTGGTTCCATGGGTGTGTTCATTTCATGAAAATTCATCAAGCTACGCACTTACATGCATTTTTCTGTGTGTATGTTTGGCTGCAATAAAAAGTTAAATTAAGGGGTTGGCCTGGTGGCACAGTGGTTAAGTTCACACACTCTGCTTCAGTAGCCTGGGGTTTGTGGGTTCGGATCCTGGGTGTGGACCTACACGCTGCTTATCAAGCCATGCTGTGGCGGCGTCCCACATACAAAAATGAAGGGAGGTTGGCACAGATGTTAGCTCAGGGACAATCTTCCTCACCAAAAAAAAAAAAGTTAAATTAAGAAGGTTCTACCAAGAAGCAAGTCACTGTGCATCTGTCCCCTCTGTCACCAAACCCAGGGCTCTGACCAGCCAGCGTGGTGGTCTTGCACTGGTCCCTCACCCAGGCCTTTGGAAAGTTCTGCTGGGCCAGCAGTGGCCCTCTGCCCCTGCTAGGCTCAAGCGAGCCAGGCAAGTGGACATTGCCCACCCTGGGCGCTGTCTCAGACACCAGGTAAAATGCCTGGGTTACTGGGATTCAAGCTTGGGAGTGGCCAGGTGCTGCAGCCAGGTGTGTCTGTCACCAGGGACCTTTATGTCCAGCCTCAGGAACACGGAATGTCCTGGCACAAAGCCTCACTCATGACTGTTGCTCAGAAACAAACCATCTTCCCCACTGTTCCCACTCCTGTCCCTGTCCCCTGCCCCTGCCCCGAGTAAAATCTTTGGGATCACCAAGAAAGTCCAGCACTGGAGAAATCCCACTGGCGCTGCCATCCGTCCACTTCTTCACCCAAGCCAGAAACCTGTCTGCACAGGATGAAGAAGAAAATAGAAACACTTGCATCAAGGACACTCAGAGACAGACATCTGTAACACTGTGGCGTATGTTCTCCCAGACTTTTAAAATGTAACATATCAAATAACTGGCCCTGCTGATTCTGCCTCCGTAATAGCTCTCCAGTGAGCCCCATCTCTCCCACCATCCCAGCTCAGGCTCACATCCTCTCTCGCCTAGACTCTTAGGACATCTTAAGTGGTCCCCTCGCCCCACTTTCACCGTCTCCTCTCCCTCCCCACCCCTACCTTTTCTCTTCCTCCGCAATGTCGTTTTCTGACGCTACATCTGATCACGTGACTCTCATTTAAATTTCTTCCATGTCTTCCCGTGGCTTGCACCTTAGCCTGATATCAAGACCTGTGGCGACCTGGCCCCGACTCAGAGTCTCCCCCGGAACCCTGACACTCCAGTCGTCCCCAACCCTCTCCCCAGAGAGAAAGCTCCCCAGGAACGTTCTGCCTTTATCATGTGTGGACTCCAGGGTGGGAAGGTCCTTCAGAGACCCCACCTGGGCCCAGCTCAGCTCCTTTACATTTATTCCTAGCACCTATCGCTGCCAACTTAGGGACTCCTAGAGATCACCCAGTGGGCCATGGTGCTCGATGCCTCCACGCTGTTCACATCCTGCTCCCTCTGCCTAGGACGTGCTTTCCTCCTTGTCCAACTGGTGAACTCCTAGTCATCCCTCAGGACCCAGCACCAGCACCTCCCACTTTGTGGGAGAGAATGGATTTCTCCCTTCCCTATGTCCCTCCTCCACCTAGACTGTTAACACTCACTGCTCTGTATTGCAAGTATCTGTTTTCAATGCAGTCTCATCTGCCAAAGTAGGATTTTGAGCTTCTTGAGGGCTGGGTCAGTGTCCCTCCATCACTATAGCCCCATCACCTGGCCTGTGCTGGCACAGAGGAGTGGCTCAGCAAAATGATTTTGGAGTGAATGAAGAATAGGCTTGCAAACAAAGTCTTTCAACCCCACAGAAGAGTTTCTCTAAGGAAGGAGAAAGGCCTCGTCCACTGCCAGCGCTGAGAGCCTCCTTGAGACACACGTCCTCTGTCCCTTTGGTCTGCAGGCCATGCTTCGATGGCAGAGAGGGCACTATTGTTTTATTCTTGCTGGTTTGACTGGTCTTGGGTTGAGGTTACAGGAAATATAATAGGGTCGGGGGTGGGGCTACCTTATAGACATGCTGATTTAATAGTTTCTGGTCAGGTAGGATTTGAAGGATGCCAGCAAGTCTCCCTGCTCAGAACTGTGTTGCCTACCTCGGCGCCAGGGCCTGAAATTTCAGCCCTGGATGTCCTCTTCTCTCTCCTTAGTCCTTTATTAAAGGGGCTGGTCAGGGGCTGTATTGGGTCTGGGGGCCTGTGAGTTCTCCCTTTTGTCCCCGGGGCGGGCTGTCCCCAGTTCCAGAAGTGCAAGTTTGCTGTCTGCACAGCCAGGCTGACCTCGCTGGAGGAGTACTCGGAGCAGCTGGAAGACATGGTGGCCTTCCTCCTGGGCTGCAGCCTCTCCCTGGAAGGGGCCTTGGAGAAGGTGAGGCTCCCCAGAAGAGACCTAGCAGGCCACGGCCCCGCAGGTGCATTCAAGGTAGGGACAAAATCTGCAAGGGCAGAATGACTTGAAAATGTGGATCACCTTGTGTTTTCCTGTGGTGGGGAGAACATCAGCATAGGAGGCAGGAGACCTAAACTCTGGCCCCAGCTCAGCCACTTTTCTAGCTGTGCAACCCAGGACAAGCTGTTAACTTCTCTGAGCTTGTTTCTTCATCTGGAAAATGGGACTGCCAGCCTCTCTCCTGCCCACCTTTGGGACTGCTGTGAGCACCCAGCGTGGTCTTGAGAGTGGAGTCAAGCCCTTTTAGACAGACCATTGCAGCTGTGTAAACCAAACCTGTTTGGAATTCGTCTGGCTCCTTTAACTTAGGGCATCTCAGTGAGATTTTTGAAAATCCTCTCTGGCTTGGACTTCCCGGCATCAGGGAGAATGTGCCTGGCTGGGCAAATGTCCAGGGATTTGTGGCAGAGCCTTGGCCAGGCCGTTAGCTGCTAGGTGATGTCTCTGTCAGGAAAGCTGGGTCACGTTCTTGGCTGGAGGTGGCCGCGAGTGGTCACGAACGCAGCGTGGTCACCTCTCCTGGGACGTGTCCACTGTAAGGGGCTGCCTTCTGCTGTGTCTCTGAGGTTTTATTCCAGCCACTGCTTGTCACGGGGAGAGAACCAGGTTCTCCCATTCCGCTGACCCCTTGTAGCACATTTGTGTGAAGTCCAAGAAATTATCTGCTGGGTCGATGGTCAGCCAGCATCAACAGTCCACCCCAGGTTCCTCATGGAGGCCTCAGATTGGAAATTTCTTTCTTTCTTTTTTTTTTTTTGGTGAGGAAGCTTAGCCCTGAGCTAACATTTGTTGCCAATCCTCCTCTTTTTGCTGAGGAAGACTGGCCCTGAGCTAACATCCGTGCCCATCTTCCTCTACTTTATATGTGGGGTGCCACCACAGCTTGATGAGCTGTGTGTAGGTCCATACCCAGGATCCGAACCTGCGAACCAGGGGCACAGGAACTTAATCACTATGCCACCAGGCCGGCCCTTCAGATTGGAGATTTCGTCTTGGGGTCCTGGACACTTATTAAACTTGCCTGGTTTGGGCTCCTGCCAAAGAGGCCTGAGCTGCCTCTGATGAGACACAAGGCTGCCCACAGCGTGTGCTGCTTTTCGTGTGTAAAACACGTGCCCGAGCGGTTTTCTTGAAGGTCGGGAAGGATGGAGGCAGAACTGCAGCCACTGTCTAGGGCCCAGGGCAGGGTCTGGCCTGGGTACAACCACCATCTGTAGCAAGAGGGCCTCATGGCTCATCATGTGCAGCCTTTCATCTTAGATGAGGAAATTGAGGCCTAGAGAGAGACAGGGACTTGCCCAAATCCCAAAGCCAGACTGGAACCCAGGACTCCTGGCTCCCGCCTATAAAATGTCAATAGTAGAGGTGTGAGGATTGAATGATGCGTTGCACAGAGGTGCTCATCGCTGCCCTGCTCAGCAGACCCGGAGTTTTTCCATGACACCTCACTGCCCCCAACGATTACCAAGTAGCTTTCAGTTCAATACTGATGCCTCTGCCCGTTGGCTCCTGGCAGAAAGGGCCGGGCAGCCATCTTGGATTCAGTTGGTGGCCTTGAGGGGATGAAGCGCCCCCAGAAGGAGGCGCCTCAGCCTCAGGGAGCGCTGCCTGCCTCCTGTGAGCGTCCTCAGCATGTGCCCCCTCCCGAGTGCTGTTATTCAGACACAGAACTGGCAGGCACACCCAGTTTCATCCTGCTGCTGCCAGGGTACTAATAGCAAGCCCTTCAGGCTGCCGCCAAGACTATCCCAGTGGATTATGGTCCTGGCCATGTCCTAAATCTTTCATAAGCCCCACAGCAGGGACCAGAAACTGTTCAGGGGACAAAAACAACATCACTAGTGAAAGTCACACAGGTCATCCTGGGCGACTTGCGTAGAGGCGGGAGGGGTGAGGCAGGGCGCGGGGCGTGCGGGTACAGGCCTCCAGCCCCTGTGTGGACTCAGGAGGCAGAGGAGGCCCCGGGGCCTCCCGTAAGGTTCCCACTTTCTTGGGTTCCTCTGCCTCTGGTTCTCCTAGAGAGTCTTCACCTGTGGTCCAAGGGCCCCTTGAGGTCCATGGAGAAAATTCAGAAGATCCATAAAGTTGGGCGGGAAAAAATGACATTTTTATTTTCATAGCCTCAAACTAAAATTGAGCATTCCCTTCAATTACGAATGTAGGCAACAAACTATAGTCGTATCAGCAGATCCTGTGACTTTGTGGCTGCCCGAAGAAATCACAGATACTTTCATGTCACATTACAGTTCTTCCCAAAATCTCAAAAATATCTTAATTGTTGCTCGTTACTTCAGAATGACAATGGTAGCTCTGCCATCTTGTTCCTTACGCTGTTAGTGAAGAAGCACACGTGTTGCTGTTTCACATATTTTCATAATTTGATCACTGCGTTTGCAATGTGATTGGTTTCCTTTGTAATCCCGTGCATTTCCTCTTAGGCAGTTAAAGCATTACTTTGACAAGGCTGGGGTCCACGGCCCGACAAAGTTAAGATTCTCTGTTTCAGACCAATCCTTACCAGCAACCGTCCTCATCTCTGTGTCGCATAAAAGTAGAAGCTAAGTTTTGATAATAGCTACTTGGACCTCCTGCCTACTTCATTCACTGCCTTGAACTCTTGTTACTCGGGGTTCTATTTTTTAACGTTTTTTACTTGATTTCTTGGCAGACAGCAGTGCCTTGTGCCACCATGGCTGGCATTTGCTGCCCTCTGGTGGTCGCGATGAGGCCCATTTCCCAAGGACAAAGCTGGAAAGGCGAGTGAGGGCCGGTTGCTCCATGGGGGGTGAGGAAGGACAACCCATTCACGTCGGTGACCCAGGTCAGCGTCCACTCTCATTCGTGATTCCGACAGCTGCGCTTGGGCTTCGGCCCGGGGAGACAGGAACTTGCTGTGTTCCTGAGCTCCCACGGCTTGTCCTCATCTTTCCCCGGGGGCCCCGGGGTCCTGGACAAGGCTCAGACTCCCGCAGCAGGATTAGGGCTGGGTTTACAGATGCCGCTCAGGTTTAAACATGCTGCCCTTGGCAGAATAGCCAGCCTCACCCATTGGCTCCTGTAAACTTCAAGTGAAGCTGGGGTGGGGGAAGCCAGTGGTGGAGGACGGCAGCAGAGCTATTTGTCCCAAGATTTGAGCTCAGTGCAACCTCTGATCTAGGCTGCTGTTCAGTGGCATATTTGGGCAGGGACGGCTTTGTTCCAAATGTTAATTGAACTGAAATCCATTGATCCCCTGTGCATTAACTCAGTCTGAGAGCAAGTGAGCAGATCCAAGTGTAGAAGCTGCCCAGGCCTCTTAGAGGCTGTCAGAGGGCCGGACGAGAGCCTGGGATTGGGCCTTGGGTGAGAGTCAGAGTTCAGTGTAACTGAACTTGCTCAGCTGTGCAACAAACAAAATCAGACAAAGCCTAGCGTTCTACAAAAATCAACCAGCACTTACCGCCTTCCTCAGAGGAAGATGATCCCAGGACCACTCAAAGCAGAGTGTCTGCTGGATTGTTTTATCTTTGGTGGAGATGAGTTGGACCCAACACATCCATCTTTGCTGTCCTCGTGGGCACTTTGATGGCTGGCCAAGGGTAGGGACACTGTTGGTGGTCAAGCAACAGAGGTTAGGTCTGTGTTATGTGACTCCATCTACCAAATGCTGGCTTTGTGAGCAATGAAGGTGTTGGGCTAAATGCACACAAAACTGCTCTCACAATCACACGAGGGGTTGGAGATTCTGTGTTCTGAAACCGTACCAACTCAAAATGGACTAGGAGCTATCGCATCCTGAGTGGTTAAAGTCCCGATTCCCTTTCTCCCTCCCCTCCTTCTCCAACGCCATTTACAGCAATCCAATGACTGGAGTTCCTCGTGGAGAAAGAACCATAAACTACTCAACATATTCTATTTCCATGGTGCCTGCCAGGGCAGGACCTGACATTATTCATTTTCTTTTTCCATTTGCAGAACTTTTGGGCATCAAAGATCTTTCCAGACCTGACCACGGGGATCCTGTGTTGTGTCAGCCTGGGGATGTCCCAGTGTTCTGGCCTTCTCAGCTGACCAGTCTCGAAGCTGTCGGCAGCTACGGTATGTCCAGACTTAAGTGGGCAATTAATCTGACCTGGGAGGGGACCTGGTGGGGCTCTAGTCCTTGAAAGGCTAGGCTTACAGTGCAATGATTGAAGGAATAGAGTCACAGAACATAGGCCTACAGCCCACAATGACGATCTCTCTGCCTTCCTTCTTTTCACTCCTGAGCTGGGTCTCCCTACTAGGCAGCTTGTCTCTCAGCTCAAACATGTTTCCATTAAATATATTTCTGCCTTCGGAAGCCTCACAGCCCATTCTAACAGAAATACTAATATTTAGCTTGACTTTTTGAGACATTTTGGAGGTTAGTGGGGCTTTGAAAGCAAAGATGATGACAAGCAACACAATTGAGCAAACTATTTCGTGTGGTTTTCGCAAGGTATTTATTTGCAAGCAATACCGTCAGTTCAGTTTTTCAAAGGCTAGGGTGATATTACAATGAAGAGACACACGAGGGCGCCTTCACTAGCTCACAGTGAAGTAGGGACGTGACAGTTGCAGCCCATTGTCAAAGACAGTGGAAAATTCTAGCCAGGTCAGCTACACTTGTACTACAAATCATAGAATTCAGCGTTACTTTTTTTTTTTTTCCAGTGTATTTCTTTTTTTTTAAATTGATGTTTTAATAGTTTATAACATTGTGAAATTTTGGGTTGTACGTTTTTGCTTGTCCATCACCATATATATGTCTCCCTTCACCCCTTGTGCCCACCCCCCACCCCCATTGCCCCTGGTAACCACAATACAGTTTTCTCTGTCCATGTGTTGGTTTATATTCCACATATGAGTGAGATCATACAGTGTTTGTCTTTCTCTTTCTGGCTTACTTCACTTAATATAATACCCTCCAGGCCCATCCATGTTGTTGCAAATGGGACGATTTTGTCTTTTTTTATGGCTGAGTAGTATTCCATTGTATATATATACCACATCTTCTTGATCCAGTCGTCAGTCGAGGGACGCTTAGGTTGCTTCCACTTCTTGGCTATAGTGAATAATGCTGCAATGAACATAGGGGTGCATAAGCCTAAAAGAGCAAAGCTGGAGGCATCACAATCCCTGACTTCAAAACATACTACAAAGCAATAGTAATCAAAACAGCATGGTACTGGTACAAAAACAGACACACAGATCAATGGAACAGAATTGAAAGCCCAGAAATAAAACCACACATATACGGACAGCTAATTTTCAACAAAGGAGCTAAGAACATACAATGGAGAAAGGAAAGTGTCTTCAATAAATGGTGTTGGGAAAACTGGACAGCCACAAGCATTACTTTTAATTTGTTTTTAAAGCATTTATGGACGTTTAGCTATCAGAATGGCCTGATGATATGGAGATTATCTCTAATATGGTGACAAGGCATAAACACCAAGATCAATGGGATTCTATTCATTCATTTATTTAACAGAAATGTATTGGGCACCCACCGTGTGCCAGGCGTGGGCCCAGATCTTGGGAATAAAATGCTGCATGAGACAAGATGTGGTTCTCAGGGAGCTTGTCATTTCTGAATGTGTGTGTGCACGTGTGTATACACACATCCACACATGTGTGGTGAACATTCTCCAGCATGGTGGCCTCACCCCTCTCCTGCCACCGGCCACAGGGAATCCCCTGCAGAGGAGGTCTCCCTGCCACAGGCACCCCAGGGCACTCCAGCGCCTTAGTTCTGACTTGTGATAGCATCTTTGATTGTAAACGAGACCAAATGACATCACTGGTCAGAGATGACCATGAATCTTTCTAATTTGCAAAAATCATGCTCAAACTTCAATATTTAAACTTCTATTAGCAATAGATTAATTGCTGCACACCTCACAACTGAAGGGGCAAAACTCCATGTCACACTCTGAGCTGACTGTTCTGATGTGTACCTGGCTTTAGAGTGACTGATTTTAGGTTCTGTCCAAAACGCGGAAAAACAATGGTCGCATTCATCAAAATCCTTAGTTCTTCCCCTTACGCATCACATCTAAAAGTTAAGTTAGAATGCTTTGTGCATCTATCAGTAGGCTTTCCTCCTGATGGGTTGGCTGACTTTGGCTTTCCATGAGATCTGAGAAATTCTACTATTGTCTGTGAAATCCAAGACATTGTTATTTGCTCAATTCACGTCTACATTTATTGGGCATCTTTTATGTGCAAGGCACTGTGTGGGATTCTGAGATGAAGAGGGAGTGATCCCTCTTCTCTGGGAGCATACAGCTAAGTGGGATTAGAGTGTTCAGTCAAGTTCCATGGCCCCTGTTTAAAAGGAACTTGTTTTAGCCATAAGCCAGCTTGTTCTGACCTAGTGCCAACAAGCAGTGTAGGGAGTGCTATTGGCAGAGTTGATGTGTAGCGCCATCTTGCCCATCAACAGTTGACTAGATGAGAATGGACTGGGTTTGATGAAGTGGCTGGGCTAGGTCCCTCCTGGTGTGTGTTTTCGAGACCCCCAGCTTTCACCGGTGCACCATATTGCAGAGTTATGACTGACGTGAAGGACACGGAGACTGCAGCCAGTTGTCTCACCCCCGAAGGAATTCCAGAGGTCCATCACATTTCCCAAGATCCTTTGCACTACAGCATCGCATCAGCTTCAGCCGTTCAGAAGATCAGAGGACTAGAGACTATAGTCGCCACAGACCCAGGTAAGAAACAAAGCATTCACACCTTAATGGCCCGGAGAAATTCACCACTGGTGTAATGTTTAGTAAAAAAGCACCATGCAAACTGTATCTACACCATGATATTTTAAAAATATTTATACCACGTATGAGTCCCAAAAAGACTAGAAGTAAATGCACCAAAATACTGATGGTAATGGTCTCTGGGTAGTGGGATTGTGGGTGATTTTTGTTTTCTTCTTTATGTTTTTATTTCTTTCTCAAAATTTTCAACACTAAACATGTGAGGGAGTTTGAGAGGCGAGCTTATTAGCTGGGCACGTTGCCACCAGAACTGAATTGGGGTTGGGTAGGTAAGAAAAAAAAAGGAGAATGGTTCCTAGGTATCAACTACCGCCATTTAGACAAAGTCATCCATGTATTTAATAATGTCCCTCATCTTCCTCTTGTGTGCCATTGCCCTGGGGTTGGGCATAGAACTGATTTTTTGTACCGGGCAGCAGGGGTAGGGATGGGGGGCTGCATTGCTGCTCCTTGGGGGATCCCGTGGGGCCAGACTCTGCAGTGACAGCCTCACAGCAGTTTGCAACTGACATGCATATTGTATATTGCATCTCAGAGGACAGTCTTTCTGTGGTTTGCAAGCCACTGGCTTTCTAGACGTGGGACAGGGCTGTGAGGATCCACCAGGGGTCTGCTGCTTCCAAGTGGCAGGAGGTTTGCTCAAAGCGGGTTGAGGGGCTTGGAACTGCCAGCTGCATGTTCATTTAAGAGCTGAATTTCTAATCCCAGATGGCCAGAAGAGGGCGCCATTGTGCATGGAAAATTCAATCCATTTGCTGACACAGGCTCAGGAGAGAATCAAGGTGTAGACTTCACAGCCACTCCCCACCTCAGTCTCCTAGTCAGTGTAACAGGAGTCAAGACAGTTATACCTCCCTCTTGGGGTTGTGATAGGTGATAAGAATAATAGCTATCATCTACTGATTTTTACTCTAGGCCAGGCTTGTGCTAAAAGCATTTACATGTTTCATCTTATTAAATTCTCCAGTGACCCTATGAAGCAACTATTATTAACATCCTTTAACAGATGAGGAAACTGAGGCACATAAGGTTAAGAAACTTGCCCAAGCCCACATACCTGGTAGGTGGCCGGGGCAGAACTTGAACCCATACCCACCAACTCCAAGGCCCATGATCAGTGAGTGTTGGGATAAATTGGAATCTGTCTGAAGGGTATGGCACAGTCTCACCTGGGCAGTTAAAAGTATACTCCAGCCTCTCCCAGATCATCGTACCCCATTCCCTCTTCTGCACCTTCTCACGGGCTGTGATTCTAGACGGGCGTGCTCTTTGCACTCTGAATGTCTGGAGAAGGCGTGTGTGGCCTCCCTGCTGGCCCACCTGACACTTGTTTCCCAAGCAGATACCTGGATGGATGGGGCCCCTGCAGTGAGCAGCCCGGGGAGGTCGACCCTCTGGGCCCGACTCCCAGGACCCAAACCAAGCTGATTATGGTGACGGTGGCATAGAGAACAACACCTGGGCAGGGCCATCGAGCAGACAGCCTGGGGGCCCTTTTGTGTTGGCTAACCCTGTGGCCCAGAATCTGACAGTGCAGACCAGCCTTAAAAATGTCTGATCCCTGGGCTGGCCCTGTGGCTTAGCAGTTAAGTGAGCGCTCTTCACTGCTGGCAACCCGGGTTCGGATCCCGGGCCCAGATCCCGGGCCCGCACTGACACACCGCTTCTCTGGCCATGCTGAGGCCGCGTCCCACATACAGCAACTAGAAGGATGTCCAGCTATGACATACAACTATCTACTGGGGCTTTGGGGGGAAAAAAAATAAATAAATAAAATCTTTAAAAAAAAAAAAAGTCTGATCCCTTCTCTGGGCCTGGGAGCAAAGGTTGACCCCCAGTTACAGGGGATCCTGCAGTAACAAAACTTCCTGGAAACCACAGGGCATAGCTTTTTGCTTGTTTGTCTGTTAGGTTGTTCGTTCGTTCATTCATTCATTCGGCAGAGAACATGGTTTCCCTTACTTACAAACACACAGTAAATTTGGAATATTTGCCCACCACACATGTACCTTTTAGGACACATGCATATAGAGAGGTGAATGCACGTGGCTGTGTATACACAGAGTCTCTTACATAGTTGATCTCCTTGGTGGATATTTTTAAAAATTTCTACAGTACTTTCTCTCTCACAAACATTCTTACCCAGGCTGACGGCTCTTCCGCTCAGCACAGGGGTCATGAGGGAAGATGAATTATTAACTCTGCCATTAGCTCAGATAAGAAAGTAAGTGGGATGTAAATTTGCTGCTGACGCGGTGCACCCATTGCTTAATAAAAATGACCTGGGAGGTCGTCCACAACACCCTCCTTCAGGGCTGTGCAGGCTGCGTGTCAAGATTTGAAGCAGGAGGCTCGGGTGAAAGGCAGATTTATGACTGTCTGGATATGCCAATATTGTCTATTAAGGAACGTCTTAATCCTCAAGAACAACAAATGCTTTTGATTCCTACTATATTAAATAAGCAGACAGAAGATTAATGGAAATGTGCTGAGCATTACTCACCAGGCATGATAATAGAACCCCTCAGTCATTTTTGAGAGACATTGGCCTGCATTTGAGGTGCCTGGAGAATACGAAGGAATACAAGGCTTGTAATAATGGTGTTTATGCTAATAATAAAGTCATCATAAATGTATAGACTGCTTTCAAGTTGACAAAGTTCTCTCTCCCCTCCTCTCTCTTTCGGTGCCCACCACATCCTATGAAATAGGTTACATTACAATTTTTTTCCTTTGAAAATGTTATTTTTCTCCCCTTTTATCAACAGTAACTCATGTTCATTCTAGAAGCATCAGAAAATATATGAAAGTAAAGAGGAAATAAAAATTACCAGAATCCAATCACAATTAACCAGTATTAACAGTGTTTGCCCTTAATGTCTTTTTCTTCAGTCTTGAACCTATAAGACTGAAAAGATAGATAGATAGATGATAGAAAGATAGAAAGATAGATAGATAGATAGATAGATAGATAGATAGATAGATAGACAGGTGGTAGATAGTAGATAGGTAGATAGATAGATAGATAGATAGATAGATAGATAGATAGATAGATAGGTGGTAGATAGTAGACAGATAGACAGATAGATAGATAGATGATAGATAGATATTGGAATCATGCTGTGATACTATTTTAGGCCTTGCTTCTTTCACTTTTTAATATATTGTGAACATCTTTCCATGTCATTAAATAGACTTCTAAAACGTCCTTTTTAATGTTTGCTTGGAATTCCATTTTACAAATGTTCCACCATTTTATTCATATCTTGTTACTTGACACCATAAACGATGCTGCAATGAACATCCTCATGACTCTATTTGTGTACGTACCCAGGATCACTTTATTAGGATAAATTCCTGGAAGTGAATTGCTGGCTCCAGTGGAATGTTCAACTCTAAGGGACAAATCCCCCTCCAGACAAATGTTCCACTTGCCGCTCCCACTGGCAGTTCTGTGAGGGGCTTTTCCACATAGCCGTCTTCCACCTGGACCACCCCCATGCTCTGTGTAGGAAAACTGAGGTTCAGAGCAATCAAGGGATGAGGCCAACGTCACACAGCTACAGAGTGCCAGCAGCTGGACTTGAATGTAAGTTTCCAGATTCTAAATTTGGAACTATTCCTCCATAACAGAGATCCAAACCCTGTGTTCCTTCATATTCTCCAGGCACCTTAAATGCAAGCCGACATCCCCTCACATCCCTTAGGCCCACCTTTCATTTCAGCCATAGCTGGGGTGGAACTTCTGAGTCACATCCTGCCTTCACATGGCACGGATATGGTCTGAGGTGACCTCAGTATGGACAAAGGCACAATGGTATGTGACAAGAGTTGGGAGGCTGTGCTGCCCAGCTAGGACCAGCACAATAGCTTCCTGCCTTAGGCTCGGGTCTCTCTGCTCCTCCACAGAGCAGGCTCAGCCCAGGAGTGCTGAGGAGTCTGTGCCCGGATGGGCAAACTTCCCCCTGTAGGGGGTGGGAGCTGGTGCATAAATGCCCAGTCTCCCCGTCCTGTGGCAGGACAATCCTGAGGCGTGTACCACACCATTTCTTAGAGGATCTCAAGCAGGCTCGAGCCCAGATGCAGGTGGAGTTAACTGGCTCACTCACACACCGTTAGTGGCTTTCCTCCCTTTCCTGTCTCACTCCTTCCATCTTCTGACTTGTTACTGGGGCTCACGTTCCACTGAGATACCTGCATGCAAGCCCTTGTCTGAGAGCCTTCTTTGGGGGAAGCCCTGACCAAGACAGCACTGTTTCCCTTCCTCCTCCCACGTCCCTTGTATTTGGGTTTGCTAAACTGCTATAACAAATAAGCCCCAAGACGCTTTGCTCAAATACAGTGGTAAGGTATGCCTCTCTCACCCAACTGTCCAGGGTGGGTCCTCCAGGGTGAATGTTCTAATTCAGCAGGAACGAGAATCTGCTCCATCCAGTCACTCAGGGACCCAGCAGCTCTGCCATCACATCATGAGACCCCCAGGGGGCACTAGTTGTCAACATCCCAGCCTCCAGGAAGCGAAGAGCTTGGAAGAGTGTGTGGGAGGTGTGTGGCCAGACCCAGAGGGGGCGCATGTCACTTTCACTCACATTCCCTTTCAACCAGTCTACGAATGCTGCCTAGAGAGAACCTAGTCTTGTGGCCACTCCTAACTGAAAGAGAGTCTGATCAGCCGTGTACCCAGCTATCCTTCGCTACTGGCGGTGGAGGAAAAGAATGTTCTGGTGAAGAGTTAACAGTCTCTGGCACATCCCTCAAATCCACTTCTGAAACAAACAAACAAACAAACCAAACTACTGTTTGTGTAAGTTTCTATTTGAAACACAATTACATTATTTTGTGATTTTATTTTATTTTTTTGTAATTTTAGGCAACCTAGAGATCAGGCACCTGCTCTGTAAGGATGAGCTGCTGAGGGCCTCACTGTCGCTGTCCCACACCTGCTCGGTGCTCATCACCCCTGGGTTCCCCGCGCGTTTCAACCACGAGCCTCTGGAAGAGACAGATGGCCTGCCAGGAGCCATTGCTCTGGCCATCTTCCTGCAAGCCTTGGAGAAGGGGGTCTCCATCATTGTTGACCAGAGAGCCTTAAGTTTGTACAAGAAGTTTCTTGAAGAGGCTGTTGAGCAAGGTGAGCAGTGAGATGAGGTCGGTCCATTTCCCTAAATGGGCCTTTGCGGGCAGAGGGTGGAGGGAGTCAGTGTTAGTGGAACTTATGCTGGGCACCCAGGCATTGACATGGGGCTTTTTCCTCAAAGCTCAGAACAACTCTGGTGTAAGCAGCATTATCCCCATTTTAAAGATGAAGAGACTGAGGTTCCAAGGGGTCCAGGTGATCTACCCAGGTGGGAATGGTGAGCTGGAATTTGAACCCAGGTTCACTAGGCTCCAGAGCCCATGATCCCACTTGTGCACCTGCTGCCCTGCCTAGGAGAGGCAAGAGTGACCTGCAGAGGACTCTCAGCAATCCCAGGCAGCCCTGGACCCCCAGAGTTGGGCGTGGGCTAGTTGAGTATAGAGTGGTCGAAAGACTCAGACAGCAGTGTTCCACCCGGCCAGATGGGCAGGGATACCCCGTGCTGCCTGGGTTCCCGGAACACCCAGGTGGGCGTTAGGCTGTGATGCTACTGTCGGGGTGCCAAGATCTCCCTTGGGCACAGTGTGAACAACTGCTCCTCACCTCCTCTCCACTCTGCAGGCGTTAGGAGGTGTGATGCTATGGGAAAAAACGGACAAGGATGAGGGGATGGAGAGTGACGGGCCAGGTGGCAGGCTGCTATTTAAACAAGATGGGCAGGGAAGGCCTCCTGGAGAAGGTATCATTTGAGCCAAGACTTGCAGTTGATGAAGGAGTGAGGTCAGGGCTGGCTGAAGGAAATGGGTCCCGGGCTGGTGCAACGGCCAGGGCAGAGGCTACTAGGTGGAGTGGGGGCCCTGCAGGTTTAAGACAGGGCAACAGGATGGCCCACTGGCCTGGAGTGGATGAGGAGCAGAGAAGCTGGGCAGGAGGACAGAGAGGTTATAGGGAGCAGCCTGCAAAAGGGCCTAGAGGGATACTGTGAGCAGCTGGGCTTTTATACTGGGTGAGGTGGGAGCCCCGGGAGGGCCGTGCTCTGGCGTAAGTTCTGCAGGATCACCCAGGTAGCTACAGGGACAAGGATGGAAACAGGAGACTGGCCAGGTTATTGCAGGGGAGATGAGGCTGGCTTGGAGTGGGTGGTGCCCTGTGGCACGTCCCTTCGGCCCCCTTGTGATTTCAGCTGCAGCGGGGGTGGAAGTTCTGAGTCACGCTGACCTGACCAGGCCCCACCGCAAGCCAGTGCTCCGTGGGGTTTCTCCAAAGCTGTGCGAAACCACTCAGCCTGGAAGTTTGGGGGCTAATGCCTCCGAAACCCCCTCAACCAGTGGGGGACGGGAGCTAGTGCCCTGCCTCTTGTCTTTTGGAGACACACAGGTCCTGGTGGAACTGAGACCCCATTGCCCAGAGCAGTGACCTTGAAAATGCACATACCCTCCTATTGGCTTTTCCTCCTTTCCCTCCTCCTCACTTTCCCTTGCCCCTCCCACCTGACTCCTGGGACAATCTCCCAAATAAAACACCTGCACCCAAGTCTTTGTCTCAGACTCTGGTTCCAGGGGACCCCAAACAGATGAATGGCACAGGTGGAGGTTGTGAGAAGTAGCCAGATCTATCGTATTTCAAAGGTAGAGTCATGATTTCCAGGTAGATTGGATGCAGGTGTGAAACAGAAGAACCAGGGATTGCTCTGAGGTTTTGGGCAGGGTAACTGAAAGGATGGAGTTGCTGTGAACCAGAACGGGGTAGACCATGAGTAGAGCAGGTTTGACCCTTGAGCACTGCTGGTGGGAACATAAAATGGTGCGGCTACTGTGGAAAACAGTATGGCAGTTCCTGAAAAAGTTAAAAATAGAAAATACCATATGACTCAGCCATTCCACTTTGGCGTATACACCCAAAAGGACAAAAAGCAGGGACTCAAACAGATATTTGCAAACCCATGTTCACAGCAACATTATTCACAATAGGCAAAATGTGGAAGGAACCCAAGTGTCCATCAATGAATGAATGGATAAATAAAATGTGGTATATACATACAAGGAACATTATTCAGCCTTAGAAAGGAAGGAAATTCTGACACATGCTACAACATGGATGAACTTTGAGGACGTTCTGCTAAGCAAGATAAGCCAGCCACAAAGGAACAAATACCGTATGACTCCACTTATATGAGGTACCTAGAGTTACTAAAATCGTGGGGACAGAAAGGAGAATGGGAGTTGCCAGGGTCTGGGGTTGGGGGGAAATGGGGAGTTTGTGTTTAGTGGGTATGGAGTTTCAGTTTGGGAAGAAGGAAGAGTTCTGGAGATAGATGGTGGTGATAGTCAAACAACACATGAAAGTGCTTAATGCCAGAGAACTGTACGCTTAAACACGATTAAGGTGGTAAATTTTACGCTATGTGTATTTTACCACAATTACAATTAAAAAAAATTTTTTAAAGAGTGCAGGTCTGAGCCTATTAAGTGTGAGATACTCCTTAGACAAACAGGTGGAGAAGTCATGCAGGCAGTTAGATCTATGAGTCAAGTTCAGGAGAGCAGTCTGGGCTGGAAAGATAAATGGGAGAGCTGTTGGCATATTGATAGTCAAGACACTGGATGAGATCACCAAGGGGCTAAATGGAGACAGAGTAAAGGACCCCGGATTGTGCCCTGGGATGCTCCACGTTGAGAGGTCGAGGAGAAGGAGGAGGCAGCAAGAGAGACCGAGCAGGAGCAGCTTCGAGGAAGGAGGAAAACTAAGGGACCATGTTGGCATCAAGGAGAAGGGACAGCCAGCTGCTGCCAACAGGCCCGCAGTCACTTCCATCTGACAACCGGTTTGGTGGATACTTTTAGCCGCCCACTTTCCCAGGAGTTGCTCTGCCCTCCTGCTCGCCTGATGGCCCCACTCAGAGGCTTCGACTGGACTCGAACTCAGAACTCAGGCTCGCCCGCACGGTGGCTTAGAGGGTGAGGTTTGCGACATTGGATTTTGCAAAGCTTTCATTACATTTGGATGATGAAAGTAAAGGCAATTTGGCCTTTTAGTGAAATTATTTCAGTTCTTTTTATAATTGAAGCCTAGGAGATGATTAAAGAACAAAAAGCTCGGTCATTTCTTCCTTGTCTTGAGCATAAGTTGACCAAATTGGTTCTTTGTGGCTCAGGTTTGGGGGCCATTTTGCCCGCCCTTCCTGTCCTGAGGCTCTTTCTCTCTGTGTGCCCCACTCACATACGTTATGTTCTCCATCCTTCTGGGCTCCCTGGTGCCCCTTCTTGCTAGTAACCTGTATCCTCGATCCAATTTAGAGGAGGTAAGAAAGCACCAGCCTTCATTTAGCACCTACTGTGTGCCAGGCCCCCCAGCTTGGTGCTTGGCACACTTCTCATCATTGTGCCACAGCAATCCTGGGAGGCGGCACGATTAACCTTCATTTCACAGAGGAGGAAACCAAAGCTCAGAGAGTTCCCCTGGCTTGCCCAAGGTCACACAGTTAGAACTGTCACATCCCACCCAGGGTTGTTTGGCTCTAGTCAGTCCTCTTGCCGGGTCACCAGGTTGCCCCTCAGAGCACAGAGAGGGGCTGGGTCTTTCAGCTTGTCGTGACCGCCCTCCATTCCTAGCTTGTTGCGTCACATGTAAAATGTGCCCGGTGTGTACCCCTTGATGGACCAACTGCCCTCTACTGTCTTTCTCCCTTAGACATGGTGTGGGGCTGGCGAGGGAGGTCAGGGGAGCCATAGTGGGGGCACTTTAGGACCTCTGAGAGTGACTCTGGCTCCTCACCCTCAGCATGCCTCATCGACCCACTGGGGCGGCTGCGATGGCTCCTGGAGGGCTTGGAACGGTGCAGCTGGAGTGGGACGCAGCCATCTTGAAGCCACATTTATAATACAATCACGTGCTTTTACACAGATAAGATGCTTCCTTGGGTGGCTTTATGTGCAGGGTGTGAGGGTTGATGATGGAGATTAGGGGGTTGGCCAAAGCACCCCCAAGCTGCTTGCTCCCAGTCTGGGAGCTCCTGCAGAACCAGCGGGACCATAAATGTTGGGTCCACAATCCCAGTCCTGGGACCTCCGTCAGCTGTCTCAAGCTCTGCGTGGAAAAGACCTCATCCCGGGCCAGTGAATATGCAAAGATTCTACCCTAAACTGCCATGAGGTGGATTAGTTAGCGAAAAACCAAATCAATTTTATTTTGTAATTTGTGTGTTTTCCACATATTCTACAATGATATGTAGTATCATTGCATTTTTAAGAGTCAAATTCACTTTGGAAATCACTCTGATACCAGTAGCTACTCAAGGCCCAGACGCTGGGACCTTTCTTCCTCTGTTCTTGAACTGCCCTGAAGGCAGGCAGGGAGATGGGGGTGGGGAGCAGACAAGAACTTGAGGTAGGAACTGGCATCATGACACCGACCTACATACTTGGCTTTGCCCAAGTTATTTAGCAGCTCTGAGCCTCAGTTTTCTTCCTCTGTAAAATGGGGCTAATAATGGTTCTTATCACACAGAATTGTGGTGGAAATTAAATGACAGCGTGCATGTCACGTGCTTAGCAGAGGGCTGGCTCACTGTCACCACGGGCATCTAAATGTGTCTCCAGCACTCATGATGGCAGTGGGCCAGAATAGGCCTCTGTTCACGTGGCATTGTGTGCATCTGCATGCAGAATATTTGCTAGCCCACAATGATGGTGACACTAGCCCAAGTCCACCCCCACCCCCCGCCCACCCTAAGGTTTACTCAGGACTAAAAGTAAACTTAAGTATCCTCTGTGTTGAGGTCTTGGCTTACCTAACAACGTATTCTACAGGCAGATGTCATTCACTAATGGTGATGAGACTTTCCAAAGAAGCTTTTGAAAAGCCAGCATGAATTCCCAAAATGCAGCACGAGGGCTGATGTGTTCACCCTTTGCCTTTATTTTCAAGGTGTTCTGAAGACACTGATCCTAATATTAACCCACCAAGGTGGATCAGCGGGAGATGCTCAGGCATTTATTTTTTTATTTTTATTTTTTTTTGGTGAGGAAGAATGACCCTGAGCTAACATCTGTGCCCATCTTCATCTAGTGTGTAGGTCTACGCCTGGGATCTGAACCCACGAACCCCAGGGCACTGAAGCAGAGTGCTTGAACTTAACCACTATGCCACCAGGCTGGCCCCTGCTCAGGCGTTTCTATGCAAAGATGGGGACCCCAGGTCACCTAGGTGTGTGTCCCATCCCAGTTTAAGTGGATGACAATGGAAAAGTCCACCGGTTATTAACTTTGACAACAAAGTTTCTGCATCCTTCAGCCCTCCAGAGAAAACAAAGCTGTGAGCCCACAGGTTCTGATGGGCCAGACTAACAACAAGGCTGGGGGGCTTCAAGGCGTACTGGGGCTTTGCAGAGGGTCTCTGGGAGTAGCAGTTCCCTGAGAGATGGCGTGTCTTCCTGCTAGAAAGAGAAGACAGGAAAATTATGAAAAACAAAAACTAGCAGTTTCTCAAACCCACTGAGTGTCCACTTAGAGTTTAGAAACCCTGCTTTAATAGGCCTGGAGGGAGTAACTCTAGCGCAGCTCACAGCAGAACCTGTTCATAATGAGGACCCTGAGTCACCAACAGAAAGTTCTATTGTGGATCTGATATGCTATTTAAATCTGCAAGAATGTGTGTGGCACATATTAGAAATGTCTATATTCCCTGAATGGTTGGCATTCAAACAAAGCCCTGGCTCCTCAGGGAGAAACTAGAAAATTCTCTTGGGTGGGACCCCTGATGACAGATAACACAAGTGTTGCTCTGCTGAGTGGAGGGAGGTGAACCAGAGCTGACTGTGGGGAGAGAGGATTCTGCTCTCTTCAGAGAAGATGCATTCACTCTTCCCAGGGAGCAGGCTTCCCAGGAGTGAATTACTAGCCATAGCTCAATGGATACTTCTGGCCTAAAAAAAATCAATTCACCTTCACAAGGTATATAACTGAGTTCCCCTGGGGGAAGGTCCAGAAACAGTGTTCTCCTTCCAGAACTGAGGATATATTGATCTCAATTGGAGCTCTTGTTGCAAATTGCCTTTCATCACCATTGATGTAGGTCTGGAGGAAGTTCAGGGTCAAAGCTCCTTCCTTCTGTTGATGCTGCTTCTCAGTGGCTGCCTTTTCCTGTGCTGGGCATGTGGCCTCAGGATCACATTCCAACACTTGCTCATCCAAGTGTACATGATGCCACCACATTCTAGCACAACCAAAGGACACGGAGAGGCATGAAGATTTTCTTTTTAAAAAACGTGTACAGAGAAAGCATTCAGAGTTAAGATTTTTTTATTGTGGTAAAATATACTTAAAATTAACCATTTTAACCATTTCTAAGCGTATAGTTCGATGTCATTAAGTACATACACATGGTTGTTCAATTATCACCACCATCCATCTCCAGAACTTTTTCATCTTTCCAAACTGAAACTCTGTGCCCATTAAACACTAACTCCCCATTCCCCCAACCCCCAGCCCCTGGCAACCACCATTCTACTTTCTGTCTCTATAAATTTGTCAATTCTAGTACTGTCACCAGCTAGGTGGCTGGAGAAACACAAAGGTGGGTTTGGAAGCAATTAACTGTTTTTTCAAGTTGTTTCTTTTCCTTTTGCATGTTAAGGAGATGTAACCACCAGCCATCCTGAAACTGACCAAACCACCCAGCAAGAGCTATGCCCATGACCTTTGCCTTATTTTTAATGCAAAGATCTCTCCAGGAGGAGCTTAGGCCTCATTATGTGGAAGCATGTTCTCCAACTGAGCCTGTGCAAGTGAATACCCACCTCTCCCTTTTGAGTATTCAGTCCTCAACCCAAGTAAAACTTCCTGCTTCCCTTTGTTCCTGACACCGTGACTTTGGAAATGATTCCTCACGGCCTCCTATTTGTTGCAAATACATTTTACTTTGTGAGACAACTTCCACTGGTGCAGTCTTATTTAACTCACCAGGAGGTAAACCCACTTGGTTCGGTAACAGTACCTTATATAAGTGGAATCATACATATTTGTCCTTTTGTAACTGGCTTATTTCACTTAGCAAAGTGTCCTCAAGATTCATCCATATTGTAACGTGTCAGAATTTCCTTGCTTTTTAAGGCTGAATAATATTCCATTGTATGTTTATGCCACTTTTTGCTTATTTGTTCATCTGTTGATGGACACTTGGGTTGCTTCCAGCTCTTCCCTCTTGTGAATAATGCTGCTAGGAATATGGGTATAAATATCTCTTCAACCCCCAACTTTCAATTCTTTTGAGTATACACCCAGAAGTGGAATTGCTGGACCATATGGTAAATCTATTTTAAATTTTTTGAGTAACCACTACAAGGTTTTCCATAGCAGAGTTAAGATTTTAAAGAACTCCATCATGGGGAGGATTTAGAGAGATGTGAAAGTACAATTTTCATGTTCTTAAATTGGATTATCAAAACAATATTCCTCCTAATAATAACAGCACCCACAACCACTAACACTTACTGAGCACTGAGGAGGTGTGGGGCTCTGTGCTAAGCTCCTCCTCTGCATTTTCTCATTTAACCCTTTCGACACCGTACGAGACAGGTACTGTTGTTAGGTCATCTGACAGATGCAGCAGATGAGGGTTAGAGAGGTTAAGCCACTCGCCCAAGGCCAGTGGCATGAGGACCTGGAACGGTAACCTACACGATCTGATTCCACAGCCATATTCTTACTGCCAGGCCATCTGTGCCCGTTATTTCTCTCTTTCTGTCTAAAGAAGTCTATCTCGTGTTAGATTCATTTGTTGTCTGTTTCGATTCCTTTTTAGTCTGTTTTATGTCTGTAAGCTGAACAAGATCCTGGAAGAGGGCAGCAGCGGGCCAAGAGCAGCCAACACTCAGACCACTGGGTGCTGGCTACCCTGCTGGTTAGCGGAGATCTGGGCAGGGCACCAGCAGCATCCACCACGTGACCCTGACCTTGCTTGCACAGCCTCTGACTCTAATAAACTGCTAAAGATTCGGATACTTTTCTTAAAATGATCTGATGGACTAGCCCCCAGCACAGGCCTTGGCACATGGCAGATGTTCAGCCAAGTTCTGTGGGAAGGAAGGAATCAAAGAAAGAATGAAGGGTCCTTCACACAAACACACACAGGCATGACCCAACAAGGCAGCCACACTCTCCCTGAGGACCCTCTGCCCTTGCTTCCAGGCAGATGCGACCATCTGGTGGTGACAGAGTGCACAGGAAGGGCTGCCGACAGCAAACACTACAATGCGAGGAAGATGAATCTCAAGCACTTGGTTGACCCCGTTGACGATCATTTCCCTGCAGCCCAGAAGATTCCTGGAATCTCATCAACTGGTAAGCAAGGGGCACTGAGAATTTGACAAGAAGATATCAGCACTAAATGCCTTTTTATTGACTATTGAACACATGACAGGAAAGGGTGATATGGGGACCATCATTTTCCACTCCAGAGATGGTCTTTGTTTATTACGGTTGGCATAGACACTAATGACACTGTTATTTAGAAATCTAACGTCCCCACAGGCAAGGAAGGAAAATGACACTTAACTGAGCATGTTCTATTTGCCTAACTCTAAAATATTAAAACTAATAATAAAATAACAACAATAATAAAATCGAGGCATGGCGTATTATTTTGGTCATATAGGACAAATGTATCATGTATAGCATGTATCATCTTACGAAGCATATTAATTTTAAAAATATCTTAAATATAGGATTAATGCAATATTTTGATTGCTAATAATATAGTAATGTCATCATTTGTGTTTGTACAGAACTGTATAGTTTTCAAAGAGGTTTCCCTTCCATTATATTGTTTAAGCCTCAATAAAACCCTGTGAGTAGGTAAGGAAGCTATAGTGTCCAAAAATGAAGTCTAGTGAGGTTTCTAGAGGTTGCCTAGGTAATTAGTGTTGCTGGTAGAATTAGGTATAGAGTCCAAACTCCCATGATCCCACCCAATATGCTGTTCATGGAATCCTGTTGCCTTTATGTATTTCTGAAAGGCTTCAAGTAACTCCCAAGGAGAACCAGTGTTCTTCCCCTGGGAGTAGGTATCAGACTCAGGAGTAATTAAGGCATGTTTGTCATTCTGTGTTTATTTGTTCTCTCCATTCAAATACTGCAGAGTGTTTCCCAGACTCATTAGTCTCCTTTGGCTTTTGAGGTTTTGATGAGACAATGAAAGTCTTCCGGGCTGAGGAGAAAATTTCTGCAAATTGCCCTGGTCTTTCCCAGAAGAAGCCTTGGGTGTGGTACCCACAGCACAGTTGGCTTGTGCTTCCTGTCTCTCTGGGCCGGGCAGACAGAGGACCTGAGCCTGGGGGAGGCATTCCCAGGGTGGACAAGGAAGGGGTTTCTGAGTCCAGAGGGGCAATCAGGGTCCAAAGGAGCTGCTGGGGCATGCACTCTTCCCCCGCCGTGTGGACCCCTGATTTGTGCAGATCCCCTCCCCTGATGACTCCAAGTGCCCAGTGGAAGCCGATGGAGCTGGCTGTTTGCGCCTTCAAACTGCCCCCTTTGTGGGCCCCAGGACCCTTCTTGGCCTCAGGAGCCCAAGCCCCTCCTGTGGCTTCCCACAGCCCCCTGCCCAGCAGGGCTACCCGTGAATATTCCTTCTCTCCTCTGCTCCAACACCCCTATTCCTTAGTTTCCACAGACAGCTGCCTTGTCATGGACATAGCACTCAGCTGAGAATCAGACACCCACCTTCCACTTTCTACCCAGATACTGCCCCTCTCAGAGCCTCTGTAAGTTCTGAAAAGTGAGGAAAACAAGGCCACGGATAGGACAGACCTGAGGGGTGAACAAGATGAAAATCATAAAATGCTAAAAAGCAGAGACAGAAATAGACAAAATACCAATGCTGGGTGGTGTTATCATTTTCTTTTATTCAATGGGCTGTAATGGATCTAGAAAACTGTGCTGAGAAAAGTCCTCAGGGTGTGGCCCTAAGGCATTTGGTCATTCACAATTGTCCGATTCTTTTGCCTAAGTCCAGGTCTCTCATGCTCGTGGTGAGTCAGCTCTAGTTCCTAGTTCTCCTCTGGACCATCTCACAATGAATGCTGCCTCTGGTGGAATTCTTCCACAAATTCCAAGTCTTTGTAGAAAAAGACACAAAAACAGTCATACAATCGTTCTGTAGGCTCGGAGGCGGGGCCCTCCATCCTTGAGGCACTTGGACGAGCACCTTGGGTGAAGAGTTATCTTAAGGCAGCTGCAACCATCTTCTAGAGGCAGATTCAGCTGATCTCTAGTCTACAGAATCCTCTAGAAATACATGGACACAGGACCAATGTTGTTGCTAGAGCACCACCTCAAAAGGTACAGGCTCACCAATAAATTAAATAATTTCTAACATTTATTTATACTAATATATTTATTCTAGCATTTATTATGCTAATTAACCAATTCTCTGGTGACCATTATCAGATTGGCCTTTAGACTGTGGTCTTTTTCAAATGCTAACCAGCCACCCCTGGGGTGTGAATTCCTGATTGGCTACTTCAGATGTTAACCAGGCACCCCTCTGGTGTAGATTAAATTTAAGTGACACACATACATTTCACATTCTTTAAACAGAAGCCTTTATTTTTTTTTATTTTTTATTTTTTTAATTTTTTGTTTATTGCAGTAACATTGGTTTATAACATTGTAAAAATTTCAGGTGTACATCTAAACAGAAGCCTTTAAAGTAAATTGCAGGAGAGGAAGTCAAGATGGCGGCGTAGGCAGACTCTGAACTCACCTCCTCCTGCAGACACAGCCAATTTACAACCACATGTGGAAAAATTACCCCTGAGACAGAACTGAAAACTGGATAAGAGGAACTCCTGCAACAACGGACAATCCTAACTGAGGTGGAAGAGGCAGAACCTCCCTTCTGGAGAGAAAAA